TTATAAAAAAAATCATTTCACAGCGAATATCTATTATATATCTAGCATTGTGCTGAAGGATGTGATAGAAATTCCAAACAAGAACTCATGAGGCACAACTCATGCGCTCTCAGGACTCTACAGTCTTGAAGAGATGGGCCAATTTTTAATGCAATTCGAGACCTACTGTGCTACCTCCCGAAGTGAGACATGAGCCAGGACACAGGGCTACCAAGAGACCTAGGCTCAAGATACTTTGTGTTCCAAACTGTTTGAGTCTTTTATCAACTGCTCTTGAGCACCTACTATGTGTCACATAAGCAGTTCAGTGCTTTTCCGGAAAAATGAAATCAGCAGGGCATGAAGGAGAGGGCTGGAACTCAGCAGGCTGAACACTGAGCTGAGTTCACGTTTCTACTGAGCACAGGCTGTGGTGAGAATCTACATCTATGAGAGACAGCCTCATCAAAGAGAGTCAAAGCACGAGTGAGCCTTTGGTGGCCATACTGCAACCCTGCTCATTTAATTCTTACTGATGCACTCCTCAGAACCTAGGAGGAAAAAACCCTGTTGCTGGACTTCTAGCATCTTACACACAGCTCGAGAGAAAGTAGGTCGTTAGTAGATTCTAAGAGTCTCTTTAACTCCTAAGCATATTCAAGAACATGTACTCAAAATTGCACAGAAGTTCCTTAAAAATTACGTTACACACACACACACGATAAATACATACGTACATACATATATACATACATATACATATCATCAAGTTAGCAACTGTTAAAAAAAATATAGGACAAGAAGACAGGAATTAGTTTTAATACTTCCTGTTTATGGCGTATGAGAGGCCCACTTTCCAGGTTCTGTCTACGAGCTCGTGGGAAGGGGCCAACTGCTGGCTCGCCTATAGCACAGAAGAATATAAGCTTCGTTGTTGACACGTGGGCCTGGTTCCATTGTGCGGAGGGCGTGCAGTTTCTCCCACGGAATATGCCCAGTATGCGTTCTCCCTACCCACACTCCATCTCTTATTTAAACAAGGTCAGAAAAGCCACACAAAGCTAGAGAAGATTCTCTACACACGGCACTTCCTAATACAAACTGCCTTTTGAAATTGCCAGACCTCCTATGCACTTGTATCAACCCCCTACGATTCGCTACAATCTAAAGTGGAGCTGAAATAGTGTCAGAAGCTTTAATCAGGTTGGATATGGAGGCTGAAGATAAATAGCCATCTTGCCCATCCTCTTCCTGTCCTTGGGGTCATGCTGTGTGACCATATTTGGGGAAGAGACCACGCAATGAAGACATGTCAGTTCCTCTTGCTAGCAGAGTGGCTGTCTTTGTGGATGGAAAAGAACTCTGCTGATGATGCTGTCCCTCCAACAGAAGACCAGCCTAGCTTCCAGCCATCCCAACGGGGAAAGGAACAGTGTGTCCTGTAGTAGATGAAATCGAAAACTGGCAACACCAAAACAAAAATAACCTCTCACATTTGTGGGGAAACTTTCCTTGGGGTTAGCCCTACCTAGTCCAGACCATACAGAAAAAGAAACCCACCTGCTTTCTTATTCCACCCTCAAGCCCACCTCTGAGCCCCAAGTCTATCATTCTAGTTTGGGGGTCTCTTTGTGAACTGCTTATCTGCTGCCCTAACCAGACAAACCGCTTTCTACTGACCCGACTCTCAAAAGTCATAAAGTCATGTCAAACTAGATCTGCATCTGCCCAGAAACAAGACAAAAAGCAATTGTATCCATGTGGATCTTAATTGTTTTCCCAGGTGCTGGTGCTCTCATTTAACAGCCTTAAGACTTGAAGGTGAAGTGTGAATGCATGCAGGAGCAGCCCACACTTCTTGCCTGCAGAGATTTTTTTGTTGTTGTTTCCTAGCCAACAACCAACAGTACTTGTCAACCCTTATCTTATAATCCTGCCCTGAACTGGGACAAGGTGACCCAGAAACCTGGTAAGGTCCATCACTCTAAGCTGTGAGTTTGTGGGTGTGGGCAGTTGCCTTGGCAGCAGTCAGTAAAAAAGAGTCCAGACTCAGTCTTACCTTCCCACGAGGAGGAGACACGAGAAAGGCACACTAAATAGGCTTGGAGCGCCCTTCTTGCAAGACAATACAGCAAGAGGTTAAATAGCATAGATAAGCTACTCATTGAGCACTCACTATAAGACCTTACAAAGCCAAGCCACTCCCTTCAAGATAGGGGTCAGGAAGCAGGTGAATCCATTTCTGTTTCTCCACACTGTGTAAGCAGATCATACTGCAGTCCCACATGAAACAACCTTTGTCTGGGCACTAAGCATACATAACACGCATGACGAAACTGATAATTAGAAACAAAACTTGGCCCCGTGCATGGAAATCATGTTGCCTGGAGATGTTCCACAATTTCCATCTTGGAAAACTTATGTCATCTTCCACAATTCCCTATGTGTCCCATGATTGGTACTAACTCAGCGGTGGGCTCCTAACATTCCCATTCACTACAACTCGACCTGTGAGATCCAAATGCTTTGGGGTTCTTTGCAGTGTCTTCCTTAAAAGAATTCAACACAGACTGAGTTCCAGAATTCAAAGCCAGCTTATAGTTCCAAGTTTGCCCTCTATCTGCTCACAGGAGACATGGAAATTTTCAAAAGACAATGCCAGCAACACAGGAAAAATGAAAATGCTTCCCCAAATGAGCTAACTTGTCATACTCCAAATTGAACACCATAGTTTTGAGTTTCTATTTGTTTGTTTGTTCTTGAGGAAATGGAACCCAGAATGTCTGAGGTTCATACCTTATTTGAGCTTCATATAACCCAAAGGTTTGTCACTGCATATTAGACCAAGGGTTTCTGAATTCACCCTAGATGCTAATTAAAACTCTTCCTGAGTCATGTTGCTATGGTTACCGAGATTCCTCCAAGTCCTATGACTCTTAAGTGAGAAGTTTTAGTTAAGTTTCTAGGATTTGGGTGCTATTCCTGGGACTGGGTCAGACAGATTCCTGCAAGATAGAGGGGTTCAACTGTCACTTAACCTTTTGTCTGAATATTAACTAAGCTCCTCAGTGAACTCTGTTCATTTCATTGGAGCCTGATCTGGTTCCGCTAGTAAAGGAGCTCACAGCCAAGCCTACACATCTATAGGAACTAATATGGTAGGAGAGGACTGACCCTGCAACTTGTCTTCTGACCACAACCCACGTGCATGTGTGTGTGGGCACATGCAGATAAATAAATGTAAAAACATAATTTAGAAAAATGGCATTAGGCAAGTATAAGCAAACCATCTCAGAGACTCAAGGAGAGACAGTATGTGGCTTGCTCAGCTGGTAAATGTGAGACAGAATAGAAGGCTGACTTTGTGATTTTGAGTCTGGTGCTCCACCAAGCACCTAGGACTGAGTCATACAGGCACAACCACAGTGTTTTGTTCTCACACACCTGCTTTGTCCCTATGTGCCTGGGTATGTGCTGAGAGGTTAGGAGCTAAGCTACAAATTCTGGCTAAATTGCCAGGGACAGCTTTAACCTTATGTAGATTTCTTCAGCTCTTGGTTCGTTTTTGTCACTTCTGGACTATGGCTGGTAATTCATCTCTCCTGGGGGCTATTCAAAGAATTAAATGAGTTATTATATCTAACCTCTGAAAAAAAATCCATGCTTCCCCCATAGTAAGTACCTTCTAGTGTGAACTCAGTTACTGAATCATTCATTATTTCAGGGAGTTAAAACTGTAGCCAAGGGACCAGATAGTCTACAATCAGCAACGACTCTGGAAGGTATCAACACTGGGGTGGGTAGCCAACTGAATAGCAGAATTGAGAACAGCAGTCGTGAGAACAAGGCTGTGTTAGATCACATCACAGCCTAAAACGCCTTGATGTTCAAAGCCAAGTGTCACCGTGACTTCTCTCTGTGGTCAATTCCCTTGTTTCCGGCTGCAGCCTAGAAGTTGCTGCTCAAATGAAATGCTGGCAGCAACAGGACCAGAGAGGCTGTAGGGGAAGCCTGGCTTTTTATAACAGCAGGGTTCTTCCTCTCTTGATCAAAATCAGTTTTGCTTTCACCAAAAGGGGGTGAAAAAATCCCCAGAATTTAAATTCCATTCACAGTTCAATAGCTTAGAAAAGACATTTATTTTCCCGGGGCCTTTGAAAGGCGTATTAAACCAGCGGTAGAAGAGCAAGGCAATGGAGAAAGCTGTGAGCTTCGGCAGGTGGACATCAAACTGTACCCTTTTTTAGCCCCCTTGAAAAACCCACATCAGAGGTGCTTAACCATGTGCAAAGCTTCCTTTAAAAAAAAAAAAAAAAAAAAAAACTGACTCCTAAGGCCTAATACAGCAGTAATAGTTTCTTGTGCACATGCTTGCTTTACCTACCTAATTCCTGTAGTGTGACCCACTTTAGCCCTCTGTTCTACGTTGCAAGAGATGAAGTTTCAGAGTTTTTCCAGAAAACACTGCAGGAGACACTTAGAGGTATGGGAAGGAGGCAGATTTTTTTTTTTTTTTTTTTTTAAACGCAGAAAAGGAGCAACAACTTGCTAGGTATCCAACCCCAAGCTTGACTCAGGCTAAGCATGGGCTCTACCACTGGACTTGTGCACACCCGTTTTTGTTTTTTGGTTTTTTTACAGTGCTAGCGATCAAACATGCAGCCTTGCATCTGCTAGGCAAGTGCTCTGCCCCTGAGCTCTATCCTAAGTCCCCTGGTGCTTCTTTGCTTTGTAAGATTTCATTCTAAACAGCCAGTCCACGCACCGTTTTCGGGTTTGTTTGCTAAGCACACACACCAAGCAAGAGTTCCTGCTCTCTCAAGGCTGAGCTGGGGCTCTGGGAAATTTACATAAAGCACAGTGGCCTTTGGGCAGACACTGATGCCTGGCAGGCAGCACTCCAGGATGGGCCCAGGCTTTCTTGAGAGGCAGCAAAAGCAAAGGTTTCTGGGAAAGGCCCTACAGACTGGTGTTTTTTTTTTTTTTTCTTATAATTCTTTCCACACAAGCTGGTTACTCACCTTGACTTTGGAGGTGGGGGAGGAGGGGAGAAGGCCTCCATCCTGCCTCGGTCCTTGGGGAACTCAAAAGCAAAGGAAGCCGATTTGCTCATCCCAGTGCTGGTTTTGCTGTTCTGCCCAGACGAGCCATCACTGGGAGGCAGACGGTGCCAGGTAGAGGAGTTTGAATGGTCGGCGCTACTGTTTTCCACTTCTCTTCCCCAACTCTGACTCAACAACTCCTGCCCAACCTCCTCCTCTTCCTCTATTCTGCACTGGCGGCTCCAGGCACCAGTCTGGTATCTTGGCCGCCTCTGGTCCAAGGCTGAAGAGGAGGTGGCTGGTGGGGGACACTTGGCAGGATCACTGGGGACAACACCATTGGTCTGGCAGGAAGAAGGTAGGTTGGTAGGGACTCTACATGAAAGCTGGGGTCCAGCGCTGCCGCTGCCAGTGTTCCCATCGCTGAGGTCAGCCAGAGGGGAGGCTGCTGGTGACACTGGGGACCCCCCAGGGCTGCTTTTGGACAACTTGGGGGGAATGGCAGGCTTCTCTTTGGGCGTGTTTTCAGTCACATTATGTGAATGGCCCTCCCTTGAACTTAGGCCCTGCACAGCCAACGGCTCCTCTTCACCAGCCTGTGAGTCCTGGTTCGAAGGCCCACGTGGCCACTGGACCCCCACTGCAGAGTCAGGGCTGCTCAGATAGATAGTCCTGTGATCCTCTTCTGGATGGGCAGCAATGACGGTAATGGTGGTTGCCACCTGAGGAGCCATGTTTGGGCCTTCCCTGTCCTGGCTCCATCCAGAAAATGCCTTCTGCACCCGGGAATCACTTGTGCATCCTTGGCCCTGGCTGTGGCTGGCTGTGACCTGCTCCGCCTTGGTCTCGGGCCTCGCAGGCACCGGAACTGCCTTCTTCCTCTTCGTACTTTCAGCATAGATGGGTTCGGGCTGCACAGTCTCCCTGGAAAGGGTAGGGGGCTGGAGTTCCGAGGCTTGGCCCACACATTTGCCAGAGGTGACTACGTAGCAACTGGGGTCCTGCTGCTTCCCCAGGGCCGGTTCCTTCACAAGAGAGCAGTAGTCATTTTCAAGGTGGGGAGCAAAGGGGCTGCTGGCGCCGCTGCTGCCACTGCCGCAGGACAGGCCGTCTGAGGAGCCGGCAGCCTCTGAGTTAAGGGATGGCTTCTTGGGGCCCAGGCGGGGTGGGCTGGCTGTGGATCCCTGGCCACAGCACTCTCTGGGGAAGCTCAGAACCCGCTTTTCCTCTTCTGTTGGTCTCGCACACGTTCCCTGCTCCCAGCAGGTGGGCGAGCAGTCCCCTGGCCGCCTGCCAGAGCCCTCGGTGCTGTGCACAGCATCCTTGGGTTCTGGACAACAGTCCAGAATGGAGCAGTACTCTCCACCTTCGCTGTCTCCTGAGGGCGAGCACCTTTGGTCACTGTCGTCCTCTGAGGGCAGAGACTCCCGCTGGGGCTGTGGAGAAGGGCAGGGCCTGGGGCCCTTGGGACAGCTGGATGTCATCCCTGCAAAGGCAGCTAGCTTCTGGCGGAAGCTCTCCTGAGCCGAAGGCAGCTCTGGCCTCCCAGCCTTCTCCTCCTGGAAGCTCACTGGTTGGAAGGCAGTGTTCCGATCCACTCGGGGCTCTAGGTTGTGCAGTCCGACCATAGTATAGGTTGGGGGGCAACGAGAGTTTCCATCTGTGCAGGCAAGGGGGCCCGCAGACTTCTGCATTCCTCTGAAGCTGCCCAGGTAAACTATTGGCCCATCTTCCTGTTTCTGAAGCGGGAGCTTGCCCGGGGCTCGTCTCCAGCTGACCTACACAGCCCCAGGGTTGAAAGAAAAAGTGTTACACTTTATCAGAGAAGGGAGAAGAGAGAGAGAGAAATGAAGCAGGTGATAACACTGTCACCTGTCTCACACAGCATGCAGGGAGGGCGAGCAATGCCCATGCCAACCTTTGACCTCCGTGGTGCTATGACCATGACGGGGGCACCGAGCAAGCCATCTCTCTTCCTAGATGCTGAGCTATGCAGCCCACTCAGGGATGGTAATGCTTTTGGCTTATGTCCGTTAGGTAAGAAAAATCAACACCAAAATAAAAACTGAAAAAGAATGAAAACTCACAACTGCTGGATAAAACAATTCCACCGATTTGGAAACTAGTTTGAAATTTTGCTCAGTGCTCCCTTATGCCAACCAGTTACTGGGTAACTCAGCTACGGCACAATCCTGAAGAAACAAGCCATTAACAACTTCTTTTTTTTTTCTTTTCTTCTTTAAAAAATTATTGTTATTATTCTGTGTGTACGCGTGTTTGGACTGCATGTATGTCTGAGCACTACCTATGCGTGCCTGGTGCCCAAGGGGGACGGAAGAGGGCAGAAGAGTTCCTGGAATTGGAGTCACAGTCTGTTGTGAGCGCACATGCCAGTGCTAGGACTCAAGCCTGGGTCCTCTGGAAGAGCAGCTGCCTCTCCAGGCCCCCTGTATGATTTTTAAAAAGCACTTCATAAGAGAAGTAAGTGCAGACCAGCAGGCAAAAGGATGGTTTCAGAGTTGAATCAGGCTTCCTGGCTTTTTGGTAGGTTTTCCTTGAGCCATGACACATAGCTGCCCTTTCTTCCAATTGACAGCAGTCACCTCAGCTCCCACCTGCTGGACTAGTTGGACAACAAGACAGAGATGTGACCTGTTCATTCCTACCAATGAAGCTACTCTCCCTCTCTCCTTCTCCTCTTACCTACTCCCCTCTGCACAGCACTGAGGCCTTGCATGAGGCTCCTTACCCAGGAGATTCTGAAGACAAAGAGGCATTGGCTTATCTAGGTGAAAGTTGAAGGTGTCAAGCCTGACTGGGTGAATGGGTGTGGCCAGCTCAGGGAAAACGGAACAGCACTAAACAGGACAGGGAGTTTGCTGCCACCTCAGGAAATGCCTGTCTTCACATCAACCTCTCTTGGTTTAAAACTGACCTTTGTTTTCACATGCACTCACACACCCTTCCTGGTTCACTGAGGAAATCCAGGACACTGGAAGAGGTCATTGTGGAACGAGAGTTCTTAGAACGTCTCAGGCATATACTCTCAGAGACACGTCCACAGACAACAGCCTCCAGCAGCCCTGGCCCACACACCCTCTCCATAATTATACCTTCCTAAGGGTTTCTTTCGGGAGAAGAAGAAAGGTCTAACCTCCAGGGGTATAAATGTTTAGTGGTCCTAGATGGAGCTGGGAAAAAAACCTACATTTCAAAACTACAAGTATGAAGGCTGGGGAGATGGCTCCAGGGGTGAAATGCTTACTATGCAGAGTACAGATCCTGACTACAGATCCCCAGAAGTCTGGTAAGAGGCTGGATACGGTGTTACAAACCTGTCACCCCAAGTGCTGGGAGTGGGCAAAGACAGGCAGATGCTGGCAGCTCATTGGCTAGCCAGTCTAACTGAGAAACACTGAGTTCCTCAAAATAAAGGGACTGGAGTGGCAGCTTAGCAGTTAGGAGCACTTGTTGCTCTTCTAGAGGACCTAGGTTCGAATCCCAGTGTCCACATGGCAGCTAACAACCATCTGTAACTCCAGTTCTGGGAATCAGAAACCTTCTTCTGGCCTCTGCAGGCGCCAGACGTGCGCATGGTGTACGCCTATGCAAGCAAAATACTCACACACGTAAAATAGAAATTAACAAATGTTTAAAAATAAATAAGAGAATAAAAAGGTAGAGAGCCACCGAGGAAGAAACCCTAGTGGACCTCTGGCACACACACAAGTACACGAATACCTACTCCCCCAAACACATGTATACACCTATACACGTACAAATTAAAAAGAAAAGCTACCAGCATGGACTTTGGCTGAATAACAAATAATTATTATAAGGAATTGGTGCCAATGTATTCAATGTGACTGTGCATTGTGGTTCTATAGTTTAAGGCTTTATATCTTAAATGTATGTGCTTGTGATTTCCCTTACAATGAACAGGGAAGAGAAATGGGTGGAGAAAGAGATGAAATCATAAATTGATGCTTGCAGAAGCTCTGGGGTGGATGGTAATCAACGTACTATGGCTGCTGCTTCTGTAAACATCTAAAGTTACAGCCGGTAATTTTAAGCTTTTGTTTTTCTTTGCTTTTGCTTTGCCTTTTATCAGTCTCCAAACCAGGGGGAAATAAATCCTAGTGTACTGAAATGATCGATAGTACCCTAAAGAATGAAATAGGTAGATAGTGGGAATAGCCAAAGAGCAGCTGTCCGGGAATGGCAACCTCACGGCGAGCTAGTAGGCAGCTGTCCTGCAGGATTCTTGCTGCAAAAGCCTTCCCTGCCTGCCTGCCAGCCAGCCAGCCACCATGTGTTAGAATAGGAACAGCCCCTGTGAGAATACGAGCTGGGTCACTCAGCCTCACCTTTGGGACTTCAGCACCCAGGCCGGCCTCAGTCCACAAGTCAGAAGTCTCAGAACTCATCATGGTGGGCTTCACAGCAATAGTGGGCTTTGAGTAGGCCAAGCCATTCACACCTTCATCTTCCAGGCGGCAGTTCTCGGGCCTGGCAGGCAGGCGGGTGACAGTGGGTAGGCTGCTTGCTCTGGCCTTGGGGCGGCCAGCTGATAGCTGGTGATCACTCCGCAAGCAGAAGCAGTTCTTGCAAGATCCAGGTTTCCAGATGTGCTCCACAAAGTCACTGCACGCAGACATTTTTGGGCTCTCGGGGTTCAGTCGAACGGTCTGGAGCACTGTGAGCTGATAGGGTGCGAGTTCATCTTGGGCCCGGCTCTCTGAGGTGGTCTTGCAGGAGGCAGGGATGGGTTCCAGATCAGCTCCCTAGAAGGAAGATCATTGCCTGATTAGGAATCTGACCCACAATGAGATGCATGCATTAGCAGTAAGAGCCTGTGATGAAACTGGAGATGAGGAAGAAGGAAGTAGAGAGGTAAAGATGGCCAAAGGGGAATTGTTCTTTTATTCTCCGGCCTGAGCTCAGCTGTCACGAGCTCTCTGATATCATTAATGTTCCTTAGTTGGACAGCTTTATCAGAGACTGTACAAACAAACTTTGCCCCCTTTTCTCAAATAGGGAGTTTAACAGGTATTCCAGGACCTCAGAGAAGGGCTCAAGAGGGAGAATGCTTGCCATGCTCGTGTGAGAGTCTGGCTTCAGGTCTCCAGCACCCACTGAAAAGCCAGGCATGATGGCACACATCTGTAATCGCAGCAGTAGGAGGCAGAAACTGGAAGATTCCAGGGGCTTGATGGCCAGCCAGTCTAGCCAATCAGTGAGCTCCCCATTTGGTGAGATATCCTGTCTCACAATAACAAGTGACCTACGATAGATGAAGACATCACTTTCAATATTCACATATTTCCACTTGTGCATGTAAGGACACACACACACACACACACACACACACACACACACCCTATTTCAGTCCCCCAAACACAGAGTATTTTGGAGTTTAAGATGAAAAGAGGGTTGTACCTAGTCCCTACATTCTTTCAGAATCTGGGGTGTCCAAAGCTTGGGTCACTGCCCAAGAACAAGAAACATAAAAGAGTAGCACATATAAACCTAGGGTTTATAGGTACTAACATGCAGGTTTTGAACAAAAGGAGAACAGAAGCAGGCAGGGACTTTGAAATGGAAACTGTTATCCACACATCTGATAACTTGTTGAAAAACGGGAGAGGTGTGGTGCTGGCTTGTTCCATGGGGACACCTTGTCAGGACGTTTGGCATCATGGGAATTCTGCCCCCTCCCCTTGCTTAATCTACGCCATTCAATTCTGTGCTGAGGTAAACAAAGCAGGGTGCCACATGCCAAGTTGGAAACAGAAGACAGAAATGCCTGACTCCGCAGTCCTGGCCTAAAAGAGACTGGGCCTCAATATGAGAGAAGAGGTTATCCGGTAATTTTTCCCCTTATTATCCCTTAGAGAGGGGTAGTCAGTCGCCCTTGTCAAAACAGTTCATTGCTTTAGAAATTGGTATATAAAAGCCCAATTTGCTCCCATAGTCCTTGGTAAATTCACTCCCCAGGAAGAACTCAAAGGGCTATGGCTTTACCCAAATAATCCAAATAGCATCCCATATGATAGCTGTAAATTCCATTCTACAGGTACCAATATTACAGCAAAGACAAAGACTGGGGCCTGGCTATCGGTACCAAGTTTGCTGGTCCTAGGAACATTAAACCGGTTTACTGGACCACTCCATGTCAACTTCACCTTGTTCATGATACCAAGTAGCTTCTTGCATCATCCGCTTGCTGCTCCCTGCTCCTTTTTCTTTACCGAGGATGATTTGGCATCCTTTCAGAGAGTGCTCTAGGAAGAAAATCTGAACAGATTCTCCTTGAACAGGGAAAGCACTGCCCTTGGGGTTATACTCCACCACATCTGGTGAGAATCTGCCCGAGGTGAATTCTTTCTAGGCAACCAACAGGACTAACCAGATAGAATCACCAGGAGCTCCAACGCTCCAAAGATCATTCCAGACTTCTTGTGGGAAGCACTTGGCCCGCCTCGCATCTCCCGCACTCACAGATGAGGTCCTTATCCAATGAGTATAGAAGCCAAATGTACCTCTACTCCATCCAGCTAATGAGAAAACAGCGTCAATGTGAACACACACTCTGAAATCAGAATGTTTCTGCAGTCACAGTAGGGTCTTTCTTTAACGATGCTGGCTAGATTCTTCTCCTCCCAGTAAACCCAAATAACCCATTCTTCTCTGCCAGATCTTCTAGAAGAGGCCACAAGCTTTCAACAAGCAGAGTAATCATGAGCAGATTATGTCTCTCTCCTACAGTCATCAGCACCAGAGAACTAAGCTATATGCTTGCTGCTAAATTTTGTAATGGGGGAGGGGCAGGGGTGGGGGTGGGTAAGAGGAGGAAATGAGTTTGTCATTCTAGGGACTCTGATTTGGGAAGCCTGACTAGATCTGCCGGGTCACAGCCAATCCATGCTCAAGCCCAAGTCTCCTATAGTCAAGGTCCTAGTGTCCCTCAGTGGGCTTTGGGGAAAGAGCATGGACAGTAGCTTTGAGGGGTTCCCAGCTTCCTGGGAAACTAGCTCTAAGTCAGGATGAGGGAGCTGAGGAGACTGGCATTCACCCACCTCCTCAGAGGCGGCTGCACATTCACACAGAAGCAGTTTTGGGTGGCCACATCTCACTTCCTCTTCAGCAGGCAACCCAGAACATCCGGACACCCACTTTCTAAGGTTCCCCTCCTTTTCTTTACAGCCATCAGCCTCTGACAACCCAGAGAGTTGAATAGTAGGCTCTTGATTATTATACTGTCCTGCCAGAAGCTACCTTGAGACCACTCACTCATTTATGAGCGCTTTCTTTGCTCTCTTCCTCAACTCTGACATGTTCTGCAAGCTGACCACAACACAGACCATACAACTGCCCAAAGACACAAAAGACTTTAAGGGGAAATCACTGAATAAGGGAAACAAAGGAAGCCCTGGACTCTCCACCAGCATTGACTCACTATGCCCTGTAAAAACTGGTTTCTTAGTCTCTGCAAACAGAAACTGCCACCTTGCCTTTGGAGCTAGAAGAAGCGCTTCAAGATGCGCTTCTGTGCCTGGAATTGTCTCCTGTTTGCTTTCAGTTAAAAAAAAATGATGAAACATGCAAGTGACACTCACGAAGCAGGAGTAGGGAGCCCTAGGTAGTGCCAGCTTTCCACAGCCTGGGAATGGCACCTTCCTAGCTCACATTCCTACCTCAAGAGGGTAGGTGGGCGCCCAGAATTATGCAAATTCTCTCATTTCTCAGTGGGAGGCTGCAGTGTGAGATTAGGAAAAAAGATCTCGGCATTCTTTGTGATCCAAGTCATAATAAAATAGCTTTGCCTCTGCAAACTTCTGCACTAGGTTTGCAGCTGCGATTCACAAGGCTGAGCTGTCAGAAACACCCCTCCACCTCATCTCAAAAAGAATCTGAAGACTCAGGGTGGCCATCTCCATTAAACTAAATATCTTGGCTCCAAATACCCCTCATTTGCTTATGCCTTACCCGATAGAATCCCAGAAATCTTTCATCTAAATAACACTGTTTGTTATATATTACAAAGAAATTAATGCAATACCAAAAAAAAGAAAAAAGCATGCATGGAAAGTATATAGAATAATGCATTATATTCCATTGACTGGAGTGGTCTAGGCACAAAGCAGGAAGTGACCATCCTAGCACCTACCCCAGAACACAGAGGTTAAATTTCGACATTTAAGTAACTTTTTATTTTCTAATTTGTCCATTGCTGAGCAATCTAACTGAGCAGGAGGAGTGTGGAATTGAAGCCTGTGCAGTCTGAACCAATAAGGGGGGCAAAGTTCTGAAGGACCCCAGGAAAACCAACTTGCTTTTCCTGGGGCTTCCTGTCAAATTTCCTCAGAAGGGCTGCAAAGGATAGTTGAGAGCAGTGATCAGTTAAACCTGATCATACCTGACTCTGGACTGTATCCACGGCAAAACTCCGCACCCTTAGATCTTTGAGCTCTGCAATCAGCTCTGCAAAACCATGCTTGAGCTTTACCTGGGAGAGCAGGCGCAGTGAGCGAGCGCTGTAGGCCGAGGAAGCTCAGCCGCCTCCATTCCCATTCCCAGGACTCACAAGTGGAGAATCTATTTACCAAGTGTAAGCGTGCCAGCGCTGTGCATGTGGGTGTGTGCGCCCGGCTGGAGAGGGGGCAGCACAAGCAAAGGTTGCGAGCCTGCCCCGGGTACGGAATGCTCACCAAGGTTCGGCTGCTGCCTAAAGGTGTTTTCCCTGGACCCCCCTGGTCTTCACCTCCGGGTCTGCTCAGAGCAGCCCGGACGGCCTCTGCCCCTCTGCTCCTTTGACAATACTCATGGCAGAAAGCAGTCCCCAAAAGACACAAAACAGCGCAGCCAGACCAGCAAGACCAGTAAAACCATCACAGCGGTCGGTCGCCCTTCCCGGAACTCCAAGGAAAAGTTTCCCGGTTTCAAAGCGAGCGTTTCTAGAATGAATTGAAAACACCCCTCCGATTCCCCAGCCTTCCGGGCTCGGCGCCTGCACGGAGGGCACAGCCCGGCGCACGCGGTCCGGACTCTTCACGCTCTCGGATCCGTCGCCTGTCACCCCGAGGGACGCCAGCAGGGGCTGGTCCGCCGGGCCACCGCAGCGACCCCGCGAAAGCCCCTGGGCCGCCACGTTCGCCAACACAAAAAGCGGCGGGATGTGGGGAGAGTGTGGTGGGCTCACCTCGGGGCTGCACTCCCGCAGCCTCGCCGTCGGTGGCCTAGCCGTCCGCTGCCCCGCCGGGCGCCTTGGAGCATTGTCTGGAAGCGTGTCTGCGCGCAGAGCTTGCCCGGCCGCGGGCGGCTGTCTTCTGCCCGGGCCCGGCGGCCGGGTGGCAGCTGCGATCGCGGCTCCGCCCCCTCCGCCTCGGGTGACGCCGCCCGCCCAGCTCCGCCGCACCCCCCGCAGTCCTCGCCGCTGCCCCGCGTCCCCACAGGGCCTGCGCGTCCCGCCACTCCGCCCGTCCCCGAGACCAGCCAGGCGGGCTGGCCGCCCCCTGCCCAGGTCCCTAGCAACTCCGCACCGCGCCCCGCCCTCTCGCTCGCCACCGAGAGGCTCCGCCCCCAGCCCTAGCCTTGGCGCCCCTCGACCAGGAGCTGAGCCCCCTAGAGCGTCTCGGGCTCAGTCCCTGCCCGGCGCAGTTCTGTTTGGATGAGCTCCGGTGCCCCCAGGCTTGCCTAACCACAATGCACACATAGGTGTGTCGGGGTAGGTGCATTCTCATCCCTCCATCCTTTCCACCCTGGGAGACCCTGGCTGGGAGCGAGAAAAGGGACAAAAAACGCACAAGAGAGGGGTCGGGAGGGCAATAATGAGATCAAGGGCGGTGGGCTGTGAAAGGGGCGTGGGCAATCTCACTGCCACTTACTGTTATCCTAGGAGAGCCGTGAGCTGGCAGGAACAGGGCTGGCAATACTGGGAGATTCCAGGTCCTGCCCTGCTCCTCTTGTCCAGGCCTCTGGCAAATGGCTCAGCACATCTCTTTGAACTTTAGTGTTTAGCAGCGGAATGCAAGAGTTGGCCTGGAGGACCGGCCTTCAATCATGCTGGGGCACCCAGGTCCTCCACCTGTGTTTACACCGTTTCCAGCGCGTGAGTCATTGGCTGAGATACAACGAGTTCGAGATACTGTTCCTCGGGCGAAAAGTCTTTTTAACTTCCAGGAGGAGGACAGCCTATGAACCAGCCAGTCCCCTCCCTTCCTCCAGCTGCCTGAGTAGGACAGACTTGTACCTTGACCTGGGTGTTCCCTAAGCTCCCAGGCGCTGAAGTTGCCTCTCAGTGTCAGGCCTGAGTGAAAATGGAAAAGCCCCCGCAAACACACCTGGCTGCTTCCCTCTGCCCCTCTGCTTCACAGAGGCAGCTGAGTGTAACTCCTGCTTGGGTCCTTCATCAGGATGACTCCACTGAGAGAAGGAAAAACCCCAGAACCACCTCAGAACCCCAGTCTTCTTCCTCTTTACGTGGTGTTAACACAGCAAGACTAGAAGATGAAGAGGGAGAAGATATGTTCTGGGTAGGTATAGCTTCTATGTGAGACGTGGAAAGGGACCATAAGGATTGTTTACTCATCATTCAGTGTCTCTCATTAGTCCTATGAGTACGGACAGAATGAAAGGGAGGTGTAGACAGATGACAGCAATACTAACATTCATAAAGAGCCTACTTTGTGCCGGGCAACTCCAGAGGGCTTGGTTAGCACATTTTACACAGCATAAAAAAGGCCCAGGGGGTCATACCATTTGCCAGAGTTCCTCAGTGAATAGTGGTGTATTAAGGCTGGAACCAAGGGCTGCCTGATTCCACTGATAATGCACCACAGTGCCATACCAACCATGGCAATTTAGACCGACATGAGGGAAAGTCATTTCAACAAATACACAGGGAAAACTGGTTGAGCTCCGGCAGCATTCCGTTCTGAGGAAGTATCCAACCCACTTACAAAGACACCAACCAGAGCAGAAGGTGCAAGCAAGCAGGCAGGTGTGAAATGGCCTGTACTGGAGAAACAATGCAGACACAAGAATGCTCGCAGACACAAGAATGTTCACCATTCCCTTACACCGGGCCCTCTCTTAGGGTTGTTGAGACATTCATGATTCTCGGGACTCAGGCTCCCCATGTCTTTCAGTTCTTTCTCTGTAAAGTCTGCTCCAAGAATCGCAGCCACCTCACAGGTTAAATAAAAGTCGTGCCAAACACACTTCACACTTTTTACTCCCTTTATTTAACTTATCGTTAATGCACGGACAACCTAAAGAATATAATTGAAAGAAGCTAAGTTTGCAACGCGGTGAGACTGCTGACTCTACAGCACGCCACAGCAAATGAAGGGTTAATCTGGAGATTCTGCCCAATAAACCATTTTCGGATGGTTTGCCACGCTCATGGGAGATAAAATGCACAATACTGCCGCTGCTGATCCATACGCGGCTTCTTTCTTATGCCAGCAACATGGCTGCAAAGAGGACTTCAGCCTGCCTAATGAAAAGAATTAAAAAAAAAAAAAAAAAAAACTTCAAAGATTTCTGAGTGGCTGAGATGTACATGAAATGCCACCCACTCACAGAGTTTCTCCTGCAGCTGTTAAGTGTGCTGTGTCCTCTGCGAAGCTGGAAAGCTCATGCATGTGGGGACCATTCTGCTTAGACTTGCACCCTGCACCCTGCAATGCGGTGTAATTTGTGTGTGCAGAGAGTCTTGCATCTGGCAGCTCGCTGGTTGGTTTTCACGTTGCCTTCTATCTACTCGGGGTTTGCGCTCCCTGATAAGGATCAGAGCTTTCATACGAGCAATTCTCTTGGGTGTTTTAGTGCTTAGGCACTATTCTGTACAAGGGAGCAGTTAAGTTTTAGGAGTTTGAGAGACAAGATTGGGACAGGGGGTGCTTTGGGGCAATGTAAAATAGTTTATAGCTGGAAAGTCAAAGAGGCAGAATCAGGAAGTGTGTGCCATTAAATTATCCCAGGGAAAAATGCAAGCTGGGTATTTGAGAGGGCTCAGAGAGCATGAAGACTGGGCCAAAGAATTCTCATGCATGGTCTTTCTCCATCTGGATGAAACAGAAATGCCTCTCACCTTAAAGTCAGAAAGGTGTTCAATTTCAGTCAATGAATATTTATTGAATTGCTTCTACTTAGGAAGCACTGGATGCGATTTTTATAGGGAAAACAGTAAGAGACAAATACAAGCTCTCTGTAGGGAATGGATATGAGTCAGGGCAGTGTAGAAAAACAGAGACACAAGCAGTCCTTTCATGGGGGAAGGGGCCTTTGCACATTGAGAAAGGTTGCTATTTTGGGACAATGGGGACTTTCCAGACTGAAGGAATGGTATCTACAAAGGAATGGACGTGGGAGTGGCCTAAGGCTTCTATGGCAATCTGGCTGCAGCTTGATGACAGGAGACACAGTACAATTGTAAGGTGACACTGGATGGAAAAGGCTGATTTCCAGGTAAGCTCTCCAGAAAGCAGTATTTCTGAGTAGCAGGGTGATGTCACCTAAGTTGCTCTTCAGTGCTCCTTGGATCTTGTATTCCAGATGGACTATGAGGTGGAGAAAGAGATTAGAAACAAGAAGCATGACACAGCTTTTATCTCAGGTCCAAATAAGACACAGTGGCCTTTGATGAAGGAGACCAATGATGGGTACTGGTGGCTTGGGAGAAGGGCAGACTTGAGACCACTATAAGACTGATGGACCAGGTGCCGGCCGTATTTACTACTCACATAATGAAATGCTGACTGTGTCGAGCTGAAACTGCGCAGTGATGTATGCAACTTCTCTCATTTAAACCATACAGAGCTGGAGTAGAGGGCATTAAGAAAGAAGACAGAGGGATTAAAGATTCCCAGCAGAATTCTAATCTCTAAGCATTGACAAGACGATAGTATCCTTAGTACAGATAAGAAAGATAGTGGAGCTACATCTCAGCGGTAGAAAGCTTGCCTGCAAGAAGGAGACCCTACATGCAGTCCCAGCATCCGTCTGGCAGAGGAAAGGATGGCACGACAATCCTGGGAGATATGGCTAGGAGCCATATCTTCTGTAAGGACAAACACCAGTACAAAGCCGTGGAGGATGAGAGAACACAGTCGTCTAGAAGGGACCATAAAAAAGGAATGCTGGCCCCTTTTCCCCCAGACTTTGAAAATCCTGACTGCAGCAAATCCTGCCTAAATACAAGAAATCTTTTGAAGAGCAGAGAAGAGGAGTTGTCACGGGAGCTTCAGGCTTCGTTACTTGCATGAGCTGGGGATAGTTTGAGATAAGCTTCAACTCTTAATTACTTTGTGGATAGCAGCAGAAGGCCGCAAAAGACACCACAGAAGAAAGAATCCAAGCAGACAGGTGGGCTGTATGACTTGGGCTGGATAAGAACCCACACGGAGAGCAGGAACACGCCCCGGCTTGGTGGTGGTGGCTACACATCAGGAAATTAATATCAGCAAGCTGTAAGCACATACACTTGAGAACCAGGATTGACGTCAGGGCTAAGCTGGTGGCATTCAGGGTCCCAAAACCACTGTAGCAGAGGTTAAGAATGAGCAAGAAGGGAAGGAAAAAATCTTCCCCCAAAGTTGTGACAAACTCTCGTGGAGGCGGGAGGGGGCTGGCATCAAGATCACTTAGCAGGTATGACTTTTGTTGCACAAGTCTGATTGACCTAAGTTTGACCCCTGGAACTCAAGGAAAGTTGGAAGGAGAGAACCAACTCCATAAAGTTTTCCTCTTACCTTCAGATACCCATCATGACACTGTGAACACACATACATATGCCACAAATAGTAATAATAACAACAACAACAATACCCTCTGCACTCCTTCTGTTCCACTAGTGAGTGACATTCTTTACAAATCAGAGAAAGGGTGAGATCCAGCAAACATTCGAATTCTACATCTTTCTTCCCCAGAGTGTTGCCGTCACCAACCCAGAACTATTTCTTTCTCATCTGAGGAAGTCTTCCCAGTTCAATGTAATTATATTATCACATCCTTGTAGGTCAAAAAAAAAAATTTTTTTTTTAAATTTTAGATTCATTTAGTGTGGCTAGGATGTATACACATAGCTGTTGAGGAAGCTGAGGCAGGAGGATTACTTGAGCCCAGGATTTGAGGTCAGACCTGGCAATTCAATAAGACACCCATCTCACTGTAAAGCAAAGAAACTAAATTATGTTAAACTGCTAGGTTGAGCTGGGGTGCAGTCAGCACTAGGGGGCCTGTTTAGCATGTGTGAGAGTTGACCCCCAGAATCCCACCTCCAAATAAGGTTGATCCCCATTCCAAAATAAAGAA